AGTGAAAATTGAGGAATCTGCCTGAAAAAGTAGCCTTACGATAAGCGTCAAATATCAAACTATTTTCATTAACTGTAATCAAAGTATCTAAAAAACTAATCTTTCCTTCATTGCCAATTTCCATAGTAAATTTAAGTTTGTAACTTCGTTACAAGTAACGAGTTACTTCCATTCCCTGCATAATAGAATTATTTTGTCAACGATACCATAAATTACTCCTCTTTTATGACATAAAGGATGATGTGAGTGAAAATTGAGGAATCTGCCTGAAAAAGTAGCCTTACGATAAGCGTCAAATATCAAACTATTTTCATTAACTGTAATCAAAGTATCTAAAAAACTAATCTTTCCTTCATTGCCAATTTCCATAGTAAATTTAAGTCTTGTGTGTAATGAGTTAAAAATATTCAAAATGTCATCAACTTTATCAGAAGGAGCTGCTAAAATAATATCATCAACATAGCGATAATAAAAATTGAGATGAATAGGTAATAGACCAATAGCAGTTTCTTCGAAATCCTGCATAACCATATCTGCGACTATTGGTGATAATGGCGATCCCATAGGGGTACTAAAGATTTGCTTATAAACCTTTTTATTAAAAATGAAAAACGTTGAATTTAAAACTAGTTTGAAAGCAATCAAGAATTCATTTTACTATTTTACAAATGTCTACTTCTAGATGTCCTAAAGTCGACATTTAAAGACGTCTATAGACGTCTGAATAAAGTCGATTTACGGTCGACTCTAAGGGGCCTGACTTAACAAAGTCGACTTGTAGTTGACATATCGACATTTGTGCTGTTAGGGTATGTTTAAAAGACATCTTTATAACGTCTTTTCGACATATATGTTGTCTAGGTAGTGTGTAAGATCAAATTTGTTATATGATGAAATTCTGTAATTTGATGTAAAATTAAAAAGGAGATTTTAAGTTAAAAATCAATTTATGGTTCGATAGACGATATATTTTAAACATAAAATATAATTATAAAATATAAATATAAAATTTTATATTTAAGATCGTCTCAAATCCGATTTCAAGTAGCGTCAAAATTTCACCTAATTAATGCGAGATAATTGCAGTACTGTTTTTCGAGACCATATCTTTAGGACGATTTTAAACATATATGATCAAATTATAATAGTTAATCAGATATTCAACTGTTTGAAACGAAATTGAAGAACGGAATTTAAAAATACTTTTTTCGAACGTGTGACTCTTCAATCACGTTCAGCAACAACGACTCAAAATTCCATTCTCTAATTTAACTTTAAACATCTTCTTAGGTGACCAATTCTTTACAATTGGCTCTGACACGTGTACGTATTGAATGCGACGCACAGGATTTGAATTGAAATGTGTCTCGGCGAATTTTAAATAAGAAAAATAAGAAAAGGAAGAATTCTTGGGAAAAACGTTCCCGACTAGAAGAAATTACGAGAGGATCTCAAATACTTACCAGTCGATCTACGTCGCTTTAATGTTAAAAAATCGTCGTATGTGTTATCACGCAACAAACGCAAATATAGGCACACAGTTCCGTGTCGAAATTAGTTTGTCGCGAGTCATAATTTTATCAATTTTAGTCATAATTTTATCAATTAATCGCATTGTTGGATAGTAGCGGTAAATTAAGTCTCTCTCAGCAAGATGCAACGGCAGTAAATCATTGCGGTATATTCTCGCTTGCACAATGATTTTAGAATAAAAGACACAAGATATAAAGGAAACTGTATTCTGCTCTAGCAAATCCATTTCTTATATGTGCAAAAGAATAAAGTTTCATGTCGTGATACCGGTTAAGTATATATAATGAATCAACAATGGTATCTCTTTCATGATATCTTAAAAAAAAAAGACTTTTAATTATGACAATTCGATTTCAATGTCTACTATCTTAACCACATAGCTCGTATAAATTATGCATAATAGATGCTATGATTAAAATAGAATTATATATCCTGAGACATTTCTTCGTCATGCAATCAGAAGCAACCACGGCTAAATTATCTTCGTTTGATTTCTGAAGACGAAAATAGCCTCGATCGCGGTTCCTTCTGGATAATGAAAAAACATCCCTGTACTATTGTATGATAAAAAAAAATAGAATCTAAAATTTAAGGGAACGCATTTTTGTAAATCTGAAGTACGATCTCAAGAAGTTATTTCATTGAGACTGAATGAATTTAAAAACTATCTATATAATCACAAATTTAAGACGATCTTAAATACATAATAAGATCGAACTGTTTATAATCCAATTGACTAATTAAGATAAAGTTTTAGGTATTATAATCCAATTGACTAATTAAGATAAAGTTTGGAGGTGCAGAATATGCTAAGCTGCAGAGGAGAGTAGTACTAAAGGAATGCAAAGAGACAAAGAACGGAATACATATAAACGAATTTATAGGGGAAGAGAGTAAAGGACTGGAAATAATGAAGATGATAGGTAAGACGAGAAAGGAAGAAGAAAAGAGAGGAAACTAGTAAAGAGGAAAGAGGAATCCTTTCAAATGGTTAAATTGTAACAGAAGGTATTATTTGAGTACAGTTTTCGGAATAGTTCCAAGCGTGTTTTACATAACAGTCTTAAAAGATACAATAGGTAGTTAACAAGATTGATAATGTGAAGTATTATTGCTTTTCACTTAAACATATATTTGTTTGATTTGGTTAGATTTTATATCTGATAATAATATATTGATTTTGTTAATTTCTAACTAAGATATGAAAAGTGTAATATAGGTACATAATATAATTAAAATGAATGTGTTAAAATTTATGTATATAAGGTGTACATACATACAATATGAAGAATACAGCTTATTGTTAGAATGGCCGGAAACCATCCTAAACTATAAGGCAAGGATTAAAATAAAATAAATAATAAATAAAAATAAATAAAATTTTATTTGAATTTAATTATTATAGTAAAATCTTATCCCAACAATAAAATAATAAAATAATTCTACGTTATAGCACGAAAAAAACAAAAATTTATAAAAATTTATATAGACACGTATCTTTGACATATTTAGGGTCTTTTAATATTTATTAGGCTGAGCTTCCAGATTGTATTGATTCTATCAGAGTTTAATACTCTACTTTAAGTCGATGATGGATCCGATAAAGTGGAATATTTGCTGTGTACACAGAGTACCATGTGTGCCTATTATTCACGCGTTTTCATTAACGAATGACGTTTAGATAAGAACGCCCCTTCTTGACAAGAATTTCCTCGTAAATAGTGATCGTTATAAATCGAATTACAGTTCGTATGCAGCATATTGAATTACGCTCGTCGAGTGTCAAACAAGCGTTCTATTTGTATCAATGCATTACTCCACAAATTCATTCCTAGTCGACTTTTGGCTCGAAGTCGATAAATAATTGCGAAATTATCGATCTTGTTTGAAAAAGAAACGTGCAATGGAGAAGTGCGAAAAACCATTGAAGGAGTCAGGGAAGTTGCGACAGCTCCTTGCCACGATAATCAGTAAGTTGGAAAAAAGAGAACTGGTCTCTTCACTCGACTCTTCCTCAAGGAGCAGAAGAGATATATAACGCTTGCGGTGCCTCAATCGAAGGAGAGAAACTTTTTTCGTAGTAGTCCTCCATTGATGGATATGACAATTCTTAAAAATAGAAGAATTATATAAACAGAACATACGAAGATAAAACGGATCTCAATATTTTTAAGCAATTGATATTTAGACAGTGATGCAACTGATGCAAGTGTGATCTAAGGATTTAAATTACCCTACGAATTAAATTATTCTTATCGGCGTAATGTTAATCACATTTACGAAGTGACATCTAATACAGATTATAATGTATTATAAATATATTAGGAGAAAATATGTCTAATATATTACTATTAGTTTCTATTGAGTTATTGAAAGTCTTATTTATTCCATATATATGTATTTGCACAGTAAATCAGTTGGGGTTGTCTTACGGAATCGTAATCGGATGGGCGTCACCGTCAGCGCAACTATTGCAAAGTCCTTCGTCGCCCGTGGGAAATGAGCCCATGACAGATGATGACGTTTCCTGGTTGACTGGCACTTTGTGCCTAAGCGGCACTATCACGGCTGTGCTAACGTCGGTGGTACCAGACAAGTTTAGTCGGAAGAGATTGGGCTACGTATTAGCCGTGCCAATAATTATCGCCTGGATACTGATCATGCTTGCTACCGAGCACACGTCCATCTATGTGTCGAGAACTCTGAGTGGCATTGCTGGCGCCGTCACGTTCTTCGTCGTACCAAACTATGTGTCGGAAATTTCGTGCGATAGTATCCGTGGCATGTTGGCAAGTATGCTGATATTTTCCGTGAATACCGGGATACTAGTGGCTTACATCCTGGGTGGCGTAATGTCTTTCCGTGCCTTCCCCGTGATTGTCATAGCGTTAGTTCTTTTGTATTTCATTACTTTCATCTTCATGCCGGAGTCGCCGTTCTATCTGGTGCGTCAAAATCGTATGCACGAGGCGATTAGGTAAAAAAATGAAACAGACAAATATTCTCTTTAAAAGCAAAAGTACGTTGCAATTTGCTGTTCCAGAGCCTTGAAGTGGTTAAAAGCTGGAAATAATCTGGAGGCAGAACGTACGCTGTCGCATATACAGATGCAAATCAAGGAGACCGCATCCATAAAGTCTGCCAAGTTTTCAGATTTAGTTAAAGATAAAGCAACGATCAAAGGACTCATTATTGTCGTGGGTCTGTACATTGGTCAACAACTTTGTGGCATTTTTGCGATGGTAATTATCAGTAACAAATAGTTTATATACTCAGGCATTTAATGTAACACTATTTGTTTATAAATCCTTCAAGTTCGCTTTCTTTCTAAAATCTATAACTAGATAAGTGGAACAAATACTAGAAAATATTTTTAAGACCATACAATTGATAAACAATAATAAACTAGAAGAAGAAAGCCATTTACGGTCGAAGCTGGATCACAGTGCTTATTATAATTGTGTGAATTTTATATACTGCGTATGTAGTCCTTCTATAAATCGCGACGCTGATAGTTTTTCAGCATTGACGCATACATACTTACTACCGCAGTAATATCACTTAGTTAAATTGACAAGCAATCTAACAATTTTTGATGCTTATAGCATCTTATTGGATCTTAATAATATGTTGAAAGACATATATTAAATTTTAACGATGTAATGTTGAAGTAAAGATAAATCTAAATCTGTGAAAAATAAGATTGCGAAGAATATCACGAGTTGGCGATTCGTCCCGGTTTCCACTACTGGACTCATCAGTAAGGCATATTGTAATGGAAACCTACCTTAGACGCCTGTTTAAGTTATTAAATCGAGATTCTATATATACAGATATACGCATGTCTCAGCACTTGCGAGAATTTGCGAATATCGATAGACCTCTGATGGCGGGTCGCCGTAGTAATATTCTTCGCAATATTTATCTAAAGTAGGAGAATAACGTCTTTTTTCAGGCTGACGTGATTTAACAAATACTAGAATATTTTTAAGTGATATTCTTCGAATCGTGATATTCTTCGCAATCTTATTTTTCACAGATTTAGATTTATCTTTACTGCAACATTACATCGTTAAAATTTAATATATGTCTTTCAACATATTATTAAGATCCAATAAGATGCTATAAGCATCAAAAATTGTTAGATTACTTGTCAATTTAATTAAGTGATATTACTGCGGTAGTATAAGTATGTATGCGTCAATGCTGAAAAACTATCAGCGTCGCGATTTATGGGAGGACTACATACGCAGTATATAAAATTCACACAATTATAATAAGCACTGTGATCCAGCTTCGACCGTAAATGGCTTTCTTCTTCTAGTTTATTATTGTAGATAAATGGAACAGTACATAATCTAGCATATTAATTGATATTATGACAAAACAGCTTTTACGAGAGATTTTAATGTCATTTTATTTAAAACTTTATTTTTACAAAATAAATTGAATTTCTGATTTTTCCATCTAGCTCAGCAACACGGAAATGATCTTCAAAATGTCAGGCAGTTCGTTATCACCGAATATGTCATCTATCATTGTAGCAGCTATACAGCTCTTCGGATCATGGTTAGCGACATTGTTGGTGGAGCGTGCTGGCAGACGGCCCTTGATTCTCCTATCCTGTGTGGGAATGTGTGTGTGTCACTGCACGATAGGCACATTTTATTATCTTCAAAACTTCCAATATGAAGTGTCCGCTTATTCTTGGATACCGGTGGTAGCATTGTCTGCTTTTATGATATTATTTGCCTTGGGAATGGGCAATGGACCCATTGTGGTGATGTCTGAGATATTCAGCCGTGACGTAACCAGTCTGGCTTCGGCTATAAGTATCTCTGTAAGTTGGGCATCTGCATTCGTTATGACAAAAAGCTTCACGAATCTCATTGCCTTGTTGGGCTTGCATGGTTGTTTCTTTCTCCTCGCCACTTTTTGCGTATGCAATTTTCTGTTTTGCTTCATATTGCTACCGGAGACCAAAGGAAGGTTACGCGAAGATATTGTAGATGAACTCAATGGTGTGCGATGTACAAATAAGAACGACATCAAACATATTATTGGATCGGATTCGGTTCATGCGGCGCACGTGTGAAAATGCTGTTTACGTCTGGATCTGAAAACTAATAACGCTACAGCAAAGAAATGTGTAAAGTGTCTTCATCACTTAATGTTGTACATAACTGTGGAGAGAAGTTTATATGTTTTCAGTGTCTCAAAAATTATTTCCTTCACTAATAATATGTAGTACTCGTAATAATTTTAGTTGTTTTAGTCCTTACATTCCATTTGATGTTTCCAAATTTATTCGTTACTTAAAATTTGGAATATTTGTTCAAGTATATATTGTATGTGTTTATCATGAGGGTTGTTCCGCTTACTCTTTGTAACGTAGTTGAATAAATATATCCAATTTTAAATAACGAATAAACGACCTCCGGTCAAAGCCAGACTGATTATACTTTATTAATATGTTGCGAAAAAGAATTGAGTAAATATATATGTAAGTCACTTCGAATAGCTAAATATAGAAGATGAGTCTTGCGTTATTTACTTTTAATCAATTCATTGCTTCTTCTGACATTTTAATTTTTATTAACATGAAATTTATAAAAAAAAAAAACATATAAGTTCGTATTGTATATAATATAATCTCATAACGTCATTCATATCTTATCTTGCAAGTGTGTTTTATAGCATATAAACTGTTAACATGAAAAATATTGAATAAAATACATAAATGGCACGACAGATATGACAGAACTGACGATATTAAAAGTGATAATTTAAACGAAGATGTAAAAGGATTGTACATGAATGTTGACTGATTGATTTTAATAGAACTGTTATTAAAAACAAAAAAAAAAAAATAAATAAAGATTGAAAAAAATATGTTTATATTCTACAATTACTTATTTTAAGTGATGTTAAAAATGTATTTGTACATTAAATAATATTATTATAATTAATAATGATAATAAATTTAAAACTAATATATAGTTATAGTATGCTTTCCAACAAGTGATAGTACAACACAGTGATCTTATCCTTGTTTAACATTGGCGAACAACAAGAACATACTGATACATGTGTCATCTGTGTCACTTGTTGGAAGGCATCCATTGATTCCTTTTAATTTTTAATTAATAAAAAGTAATAAATAAAAACGATGTATACAATATAAATAAGGCTATAGGACCCTGGTTAAAATAACGCAGTAAAACGGATAGAAACGGACAGGATTTCTATTCGTTTCTAACTGTAAGCTGTCCGCTCTATCCGCAAGCATAACGTGCGGATAGAAAATCCGCATTTGCAGCAGTAGATCCTATCCGTCACTATCTGCAGTATCCTGTCCGTAATAACAACAAAATAAACACAGTGATGAGAAAATCAAGATTACGCAAAATAAAGAATTATTATATTTAACACAAATTTTATGTATCTAGGACGAATGAGAATGTTATATGATCAAGAATTTAATAGAATTGAAAAAAAGATGGATTGGCTTATTAAAAAACATAATTTTGAAAAAATAATTTAAAGAAGACTCTCGAAAATTTCAAATAACAAGAATAATCAGGCTAATGAGAGCTATTCCGCGGTTATTGGTGCGACCATATATAAGATATTAGAATGTGAATATTATATACCACGTAAGTAGTTCCCCCCCCATTGCGCGCCGAACATCCGTCGAACTTAAAACGCAAATCTATTAACTACCGTAGTAATATCACAAATTTTTGATGCTTATAGCATCTAACAAGATCTTAATAATATGTTTAAAGACATATTAAAATCTTAAATTAAATATTAAAGAAAGAAATAAATTTAAAACTGAGAGAAATAAGAAATTTGTGAAGAATATCACGAGTTGGCGTTTCGTCCCGGCTTCCACTACTGGACTCATCAGTAAGGTAATGTAGTGGGAGCCTACCTTAGACGCCTGGGAGAGATGTTAGAAAGAAGTTCTATATAAACAAATAATCATGTAATTCAGCACTTGCGAGAATTGACAAGATTAACTATAGACCTCTATTGGCAAGTCGACGTAAT